TCTCTGTCACTCCTATTTGCTCTCTCTCTCTCTTGTGTAGCTGCTAATTTAGGGTTTATAATCTGGCTAGAGAACCGCACTCTAATCTGGACCAAGACAATCACTCTACAATTTTGGGATGCATGGCAAAATGACAAAACTCCAAATGGTAGTTATTGAGCTGGTAGCAAAAATATATATATTCAAGCCATCTTGATATATAGTCAAGTATACCAAAATACTTACGTGCCCAAATTAAAGGCAGATCTTTCAAAAAACCAAAATGTGTGCAACATGTATTCCTCAAAATAAGAGATTAGGAAGGGGGATCAGGTCGGTAACAGAGGATCATATTTCATATCCAGAATGCAAGAAGGCAGCAGATAATCCCAGTAGGAACTCAGGGCCATACAAACTGGAAAGGTGTGGAGCCAACCAGAAGGGGTGCTTGCTTGGCTCAGATAAAAAGCTCAAGGAAACAAATCCAGCAGAGACCCAACGGGAAAAAAAGGATTTGGGCTGAGTCCATAAGGGAGCTGCAACCCAGAGTTTATGGAAAGGCCAGATAGGCAAAACAGAGCATGTTTTACAGTTTGGGGAAGGTTTCTAGCTTCAACTATAGGACCTGGAAAATAGAAGGGAATACAAAGAATTTGATTTTCCAGTGCTTGGGAAAATGGGTGGTGGTGGTGGAGAAATCTGCGTGTAAAGTGCGGTCAAGTCACAGCCAACTTCGGGTGACCCAGTAGGGTTTTCAAAGCAAGAGACTAACAGAGGTTTGCCATTGCCTTTCCTCTGCGTAGTGACCCAGCCTTGGCGGCCTCCCATCCAGTTGCCCACCAGGGCTGACTCTGCTTAGCTTCTGAGAACTGATGAGATCGAGCTAGCCTGGGCCAGTCAGGTCAGGAGGGGAAGATCTAGGGGACCTCAAAGTCAAGCTTCCTGTTCGGCAGGTGGCGTGGTGTGAGGAGTTCCCCTGTTACAAGAACTCCTCCAACTAAGGAAGAGAAGACTTGGGGGTGGGGAAAAGGCATGTTAGAGCTGGTCTTGATTACCTTTGTGAAGTGTCCGGTATTGAGTCACATGAGAAAAACCAATGTTGGAGATTTTGGTAGAGAGAAATTAAATAAAATGGAAGACCTCTTGCATGAAGAAGCACTTTGATGGAAGCACTGCAAGGACCAGGTATTGATAGTCTAACAGTGCCATCCTGAGCAGAGTTGCATCCTCCAAACTGACTCTCATATGGTTCCCCTGATGAGGGAGTTCTCGTTTTTATGACACAAAAAGTTTTAACTCTGAAGCATTCTATGCATCTTTAAGGTGGAGTGTTCCAAGAATTTCGGATGAATCTCATAGGCAGCACTCTGCAAAGTTTCAAACCACTTCAGGGAAGCAAAACAGACACAGATGAGCAAAACGATGCCTGTAAATTCAATTGAAATCCTTTGACCACTATCTAGTCCAGGGGTGTCGAACTCGTTTGGTATGAGGGCCACATCTGACATAAATTAGACCTTGTTGGGCTGGGCCATGAGTGTCATAAAACATAGTGCCAGGTAGCAGAGATATAAACTTTATAAAGGACACAAATGTGTTTTTTTAACTTAAAATCACACTTAAAACATTAGCAATCTTGCAATATTTTGTTTATTTAACAGTGTCTGATAACTGACACCTCTTGCTCTGAATAACTGCATAAAAATGTCTGTGCTGTTGCAAACTTGAGTATACTGTTCAGGTGCGTATCTGTAAGCGGCAAACCTATAATGATGCAACAACAGCAGAACTGGAAGAAGAAGCAGAAGACAGCCAGTTTCACTGGGGGCCTGATCTGGCCCCCGGGCCACATGTTTGACACCCCTAATCTAATCTCTAGTGTCAGTGGTATTACAGAGACCGTTTGCTGTACTGCTAGAATTCCTTTTGCTATGTTACCCAAACAAACAACCCAACAACAACAAACACAAGATGTTTTGCATTCAATTAGATTGCTCTGCGGAAAGCAGAACTACAGCAACCACTTTGTTCTGCCATCCGCAAACATACCTTTAAGCACAGAACATTAAAAGTTTGGCTGGAATTTGATACACATGGCTTTCTGGTTGAAGACTAAGTAGTTACTGCAGTAAAAAAACTGTGAACCTGCCATTACCCTCTTTACAATGCTTGCCTTGATAAGAGTTATAAGCTAGGGACCCGGAACCCGGCCGTAACAGGTTCACAACATGTATAAATTCCAACCAGTAGTCAGTGGTTTGCTACTGCACTCTAGCACTCTTTATGTGCTCACCCATCAGGAGGATCAGATGACCTGGAGAAGAGGCCTCACTTCAGGCCACCCCATTCATCTCTGTACTCTACTTATGGCTTTTCTCAGCTACCTGTTAGAAGGTACCGTGTAAGTGCGTTATCCCAAGTACACACTACCTTCAGTATTTCTGGGGATGGTCAAACAGTCACAATGAACAAGATTTCTTCCTATTCTCTGCAACATCTTTGAGTGCTTTGAACACCATACAAATGATCTAGGGTTACCAGATCCTATATGGCTGTTGGTGGGGGACTTGGGGGGCATTATTGGAGGAGGCAAGGATATCCCCAATGTGATGACATCACACAGAAGTGATCTCATCACATTGGGGATACAGGCCCTTGGAAGGCGCCAGTGACACCTGCTTGCAAAACACCATTTAAAGGGAAGGTTCTCTTTAAATGGCATTTTGCAAGCAGGGGCTGCCTGCGCCTGAACTCCAAGTGGTGAATTCACTGCTTGGAGTTTAGGTACAGTGGTGCCCGCTCCTCTCCCTCCCCTCCTGCAAGATTTAAAGGGTCCTCTCCAGCTGATCGGCAGGCCATGTGCTCCTGCTGATTAGCTGGAGGGCCCTTTAAATCTTGCAGGAGGAGAGGAAGAGGGGTGGCCACCAGTGGTCACTGTTGGGAGTGAGGCTTCCCCCCACCTGCCCATGAAATCAGGGCATCCCGCACCCCCACCTGGGGACTGACAACCCTAAAATGATCTTGCTTTTTTTTTTAAAGCTCCAAGACACCAAAAATACACGTGCTGGATTCTAAAGGTAAGTTTTACATGAAAATAGTTTTATTTTTATTGTGCTATGGAACAGAATTTAAAAGGCACAGTCTACAGCATGTCACATATCAGAAGTAAACAACAGGAGTACAAAAAGGAAGAGCCTAATCTGGAACAACAGTACTTAAAAGTGTCAGGTTAAATGCACACAAAACTAGGTTTATTTGTTTTCTTCTGGAGGGGGAACACATCCTGTTGAGAAGATAAAAATATAACATTGAAATGTCATAAAATCATAATTGTAGCTTCAGTTTATAGTTTGGTTGAATTTTGGGCATTTGAGTGTGGAGGAAGCAGCAGTTAACATTGTGGTTTAAAACCTAGATTTATACAGAAGGGAGAAAAACAATCATAAATAGATCACCACAGAAAATATTTTAAAATAAGGATAATAGCATTGTTGGAACATCTATGGCACTTCATGCCTAAACAATAAGATTTCCATGTTGTATACATAGGACTTACAAATATTTAAATATCCTTTAAAAAAATAAAGGCACTGAAATATGGGAAATTGCTTCATTACCATTCAAAATTACAAGTGTTTTAAACAAATTTTGGCTTGAATCTTCATAAAGCTAGAGAATGTTTTAGCTTTTGATTTTCTGTATTCTTTCTGACATGCACTCCACCACCAGTAAGTACTAGATCTTATTTTGGTTTAAGGATTGTTTTCTTTTAATGTTGCTTGGAGGTTTTTTGTGATTAAGCAAAATAACATCAACGAGGAACGTGTAAATAATGAGACATTAACATTTTGACTGCAGAAAGCAATAATCATTTTACACCTAGGGTATTAAGATAAACAAAAAGAAGTTCCACTTTTCAAATGGAAGTCTCTTGTAACATTTTGCAACTGGTCCCATGTTCAGGTTATGAACAGTTAAGGAAAGAAAACAACTGTGAAAATGATTACAAAAACGGCACCTTGAAATTTATTTACTACTCCAAAGATGGGTCACCAAGATTGGTGGCTGAACCAGAAATATAATACCAGTACACACATCACATTTTCTAGCGACACAGAACTGGTTTCTTTTTTTAACCGGATTCAGAAATGTTAACACACAAAGCTCAACATTAACAACCAAATGAAGGCATATCGAGACCAAACTGCATGGAAATGATGCATTCATGCCAATGGTATGGAAGATAAGCAAGGGGCTAAAAAACAAAAATATACATTTAATTCAAGAATGATAATACATGTATTTTCACCAAGAACTGATGCATTTAACAGAGTTTTCTTAGACACTTTAAACATTAAGCAGCCCAGGTCAATGCCTACAACAAGGCTGATCAGGCCATTCAGGAAAGTCAAGTCACAGTTTAAATTATGAAGATCACCAATAAGGCACTCGGTTATTCAGCTGCTCTCAGACAAAAAAAAAGTGTATTACCTAACCTTCATCGACAAACATCTTCAAAGTCCTTAAGAATATATACACAAAACCTTGTAAACTGTCCCCAGATCATAGAGAATTACGTCTTAAAGACAATGGTCGTATAAAAATTAATACTGGAAACGCAATTTCCAATATTTTGTAAACATTTTTAAACAGTCAAAAACCTAAGTATTCTTTGGAATTATTGCTAAACTGTGCATGTTACTTTTAAAGAAAAGCTTTCCCAATATTTTACAATTAGCTCTTTCTGAGTAATTTTTAAAGTTTAAACATTTATCATTTCCAAGGAGATGCCAGAGGCATGAATCCAGCTACAAAGCTGCTCTGAGAGGGTGGCAATTCCCACTGATTCCCCCCTCCCACTGCAGAACCTCGCTTTGTCTCTTGTGCTGTCCCTGAGGGTCTGTTGACCCCTAGGAGCAAAATTTTGGAGGGTTCAGTAGGGAGAAGTGGAAAAGTCCCATTTCATTAAGTCCACAGAATGTTGCCTCTTGTAACTGTCTCCTATTTACCAGCAGTAGGACTTAATTGTTTTCGCCAAAAATCCATTTCTGGAAGGGGTCGGAGGGATTACACGATGCCATGCTTGGGTGTTCACTATTTGCTGTAAGGCACATCTTTAGAGCTGCATTGTATAACAGCTGGTCCTAGAACAGAAGAGATTGTTCACTGCATTTTATCCTCTTATTCCAACAACAAAGTAGCAAATGGTACTTCTGCAAATTATATTTTACCACAGCAATGCGGGAGCCTAGTCAGGGGACAATCATGGGCCTGAAGTCATCTGGTTTGCCATAAAGGACAGAACAGGACCAACATTCCCTGAATGTCAGAGAATTAGTCACAGGCTGTGCTGTACAATGAGCCACAGGGTGAAAGTTCATTGAAAACACACCCAAATCGCCAACAAGACCTCATGTATGGCTCACCAGCAAGTAGTTGGGTACCTATCGGAGTTACCCAGCTACTGGCACCCTACTTGCTGGTGACACAATATGGTGGCCTTGATTGGACAGAAAGGCAGGATATAAGTGTTGCAAATTAAATAATGTTGTTTCAGTTTACAAATGGTACCCTCCCTCCTTGATGGTGAGTATCAATATCAGGGAGAAGGCAGACTAGGAGCTGGAAATCCTCACACATTCAGATAAATGGGAATTCCCAGTGTTTCAGACCATGAAAAAAACCAACCCTTTCACAATGGGGCACAACACTAAATACCTCAAAGGGGAAAGTTACACTAGCAGCCTGCTCTGTTCGAAGGATTCAAGATAAATAATAAAAGCACAACCTGAATCCTAAACATCCCATCCACTGAACTACTAAGCAATTCCTAATTTCCAGAGCAACTCATTCATTTAGTTTCTAGCAGATTAATACCTCTCTGATCTCCCACTTCTCCTCTAGAGGGGTCCTGCTCTTCTTTCCTTTGTAGCCACACTCATGAAGTTGTACAGCTCCTCGAGAGGCACGGATGCACAGCTCCTTCTGGATATTGTGCCTGATTTCACGGTGGGTGGTGTATTCAAAGTACTGTGTAAATTAAAGCCCCACTTGTTAGGGAACATCAACCTCCTAATGCCGTTAAACTTCAGATTAATTGATATGGCAACACATTAATATGTTCGGCCAACTGAGTACCCATTATCACAATGACATTCACCAAAACTTATGGAATGCATTTTTAAGAAAAGGTATGAATACTGAAAATGCCGTTTTGCATTTTACTTCCCTCCTGACATATAATGTGGGGGAGAAATCATCTGTGTGGCAAAATAGAACTAATGTGCAGAGAGCACCATTGGCCTGAGAAGTTTATGCAATGGCTCCATAAACCTGGAATTGACCCAGTTGCTTTGAAAAGGGCATAATCCCGACAAAGTTAAGTACTTTTAAGGCACTAATTTCAAGGGGATCCATGATTACTTTCCTGTCACTTAAATAAATGAGACTTCCAGGCACTTAATTCTCAACTGGTCTGTACCCAAGGCATCTACCCATCATAAGTGACGGGTGCAGCTATTCTGCTGCCATGAATATAGCACAGAGTGAGATGCTCTCTACAGAACAGGAAAATTTTCTTTACAGCAAAGCAGCACTTTTGCCACCGCAGGTCGGGCAAGACAACATTAACCACGAAACCTGCATTGTAAAATACCAGATTGCTCCCCTCCACATTAGATCCAATCTATTATGGATGCAATCCATCTTTTTTTAAAAAAAGAGACAGCAACACATACCGATTAATGGGACAGTATGCTACAGTCGTCAGGCTGCTAGGTTCTGTTCATGAGTAAAGCAAATGGCAGTATTACTCACCCTCTTGATGGGCAAAGAACAGAAAAGGTACACAACAGTACTGAAACTATTTGCCACTTAGAGTCCTTTTTAAAAATAGGCCGACAGCTGTCACTTGCTACTGCAATCTTTTTTGAATCAATGCAACGACCGGGGAATGTTCAAACTATAATGTGATGCAACAGTAAAGAGAGGGCTGCTATACATTCTGAACTATCCCTGCCCACAAATTGGGGAATTTCACATTACCCAGTTTCACCCGGTTTCAAGCTGGTAATGATCCGTTTTGAAGTGAACCAGTATAGGGCTGCCATTTCACACATGGCTTTCCCCTTCCGGTAAAGAGCTGGATCTGAAGTGGTTTGCCATTTCAGACTGCACCGCTTTTTCCTGCTTTCCCCCCGCCGTTTTTCGCCCGTGTGGGCAATCTCCGGCTTTTTTAAAAAAAGTTCGCTTTAGAGCGCTATAGCGCTATAGCAGTATAACAAAACACTCCATGCATTCCAATGGGATTGATATAATGCTATTCCGTTATAGAGTTATAGCGCTATAACGCCATAAAGCGAACATTAAAAAAAAAGCCGGAGATCGCCCGCGCGGGCGAAAAATGGTGGGGGGAAAGCGCATCGGAACCGGGAGAGGAAACTGAGGAGTACTTGGAAGCGGTTGACAGGTAAAACGCTTCAGCCCTGTTTCCTAAACGGGACAGAAGCAATTGTGTATGAAATGACAAATATATTCCGGAAGGGAACCGGTTCTCAAACGGTTCTGTCTGAAATGACAGACCAGAAACCGTTTGGGAACCGTTCCTCTTCCGGAATATATCGCCTGTCTGAAATTCCTCAGGGCTGCTATACATTCTGAACTATCCCTGTCCACAAACTGTTTATCCTGTTTTGAAATGCAACCATCTAGGGAAAGCTATCGGCTCAACACGGTAAGCAATGTTCCCTCTGATTTCTTTTCCCTACTGAATGGAGCAGTTCACATCCTGAGCAGACAATAACCGCTGTAATCTTAAAATGGGCAACGGACAGTGCAAGACCCTGCGTGGCTCCAGGTTGCTGCTGAGCAGGGCTTCCCATGTTACTGACCGGCCGCTCGTGAGCACAGCTTAGAGGGAACACTGACGGTAGGTGGTTTGGGAGGGGGTATTTTGCTTTTAATGTAGGGAAGACCACTCTGACCTCCCAGAATGAGGTGGTAAGTATGACACAGGACAGATCACTCGGGCCTGGCTGCTCAGTCAACCCCATTGGTATCCTCCTTGACAGCGAGAGCTCTAGAGGCAAAGGAAAAAGCAGTAGGAGAGGATGAAGAGAAAAGGAGTCAAGATTATCGAGTTTACAAGGCAGAAATGAAGACAGTGTTCTTGCAGAATAGAGAAGGGCCAGACAAGAAGCCGAGGAACAGCTGAAGAGTGCGCGACAGACACAGCAAACCAGTGCGACATAGCCCAAATACAACCTTAGAGAAGTTGCTTCAGTTATTAGTGCATGGAGATACAGGAAATCATCAGCAGAAAATTGACTCATACAGGAAAATATGCACAAGCAGTCTGTTTTAAGGGGTAAAGGAAGGGACCTATCTGAAAGCACACTCGATTGTGGGGTTCCACTGCATCTATAGAAAGGGTAGGTTATTTCCCCAAATACAGCACCACCTTTTCCCCACTTCCTCTGTACACTTTATATGGTGCTAGAAGCTTATAATATACCCAAGGAAAAGGGAACATAAACCAACCTAACTAGATAAATGGGATTATACTGTAACTGTAACTCCCATCCACTTTTGTATTAAACTTACAGTCGTGCAGGAAAAAGCTTACATATATTGTGGATACATTAACCCGGAGGAATTTGGATATATATTTTCTTATTTGGAAGGGCTGATGTGGTACCTGCTCTTCTTCAATACAGGAATTTAAGTTGTTTTTTTTCCTTTTCCAAACCTGCCACTTGTGATCCTTTAATAGGAGCTGCCAAGGATTGATCCCAAGACCTCCTGCACAGCTAAGGAGGAGCTCTGCCAGTCAGCCACAGGCTTCACCCCAGTACATTTTTATCCCACCCACCTTTTTTCAATGGAACTCAGGGGCGGGCCCATTTTTCTGCACTTAGTCCCCTGCCCTATTTTGTCATGAACAGCAAGGTTAGTCTGAGATAGAGAGAATAATGTGTTTAAAATCACCTACCAACCCCTGCGGAACAATGGGGATTTGAACCCAGGTCTTGAAGAACCTAGCAAGACAACCTGTAGACAGCCTTCTACAACCACACTGGCTCTCTTTCACAGACTGCAGTCTATGGAACTGCTATTTACAAAGGCACACTTGTACTGGAGGGGGAGGGAGAGAAGGAAGAAGTGCAGGGGATTTTTTAACCTTCTCACTCCCATTAAAGTCACCACCACCAAGCTGCTTTCCTCCCCCAACTTGAGAAAAAATGTGATGGCCCAATCATTTCCTCAGCTAGGGTAAAACCAGTTTGGTGGCGGGCTGAAAACCCCTCCCCCTCCTGCTGGACTCTCCAGGAAAACAGAGCAACAAGGCCTGCAATCTTTAAAATGAGAACACTTGTATGTATTTCATACATTTTTATCTTGCCCTTCCTCCAAAGACCTCCTGCATTTTATCCTCACCACAACCCTGTAAGGTAGGTTAACCTGAGAGAGAGTGACCCACCCAGGGTCATGTAGTCAGCTTCATGGCAGAGTGGGGTTTCAACCCTGGAACTACTGCCGGATCAAAGTCTGCCAAACACAACAAAATGTGGTTCTGCTCTTATCACACATTTTTGGACAACATTTAGACAACAATGTTTTACAAAACATTATTGTAGTGCTGTTCAAGGATTCCGTTCTCCACCCCACCATAACAAGAAAACATATCTACATGGCAGTCACACATTCAACATCCGCACTCCTGAGGAAGTTACATTTTATGCCTGGCATACTGGATTAGGAGAGTTCAGATTTCCTATCCCTGGGGAACCCTTTCTACATCAAGCAGCCTGCCACACTACAGAGGACCACAGTGCATGCCCCAGAAGAACACATTCTCAATTTTTATGAGGTCCTGTTGGACACCCCTGAACACGTCCTGTGTATTTCAGAGGAAACTTGCTAATGTTAAAAACTATAGGCTTCAGATAACTTGTTTGCCATGACTATCTGTCCACGATGGAATCCTTGTAGCTCAAAAGGTTGTCGTATTAAAAACACACGGCGTTTTCTACAATCTGTTACAGTTATATGAAAATAAAAAGGGGCGCATTACCTGGTTTCCTCCAAGTCCGTGACAAGTATACATAATTAATGGTTTACCACCATTGTTGTTTTCACCAGCATCTAGGCATGATCTTCTTCCGGTGTTTTTTAACTGAATTAAAGTTTTTAAAAAGAAAATAAAAGGAAAACGGAAGTGTAAGTGCATACCCAGCACTGTTAAATACTATGCAAACACCGGTGACAGGGCTCAAGTTTTGCTTAAAAGTTGAAAGTATACTCACATATCCAGCTAATGGAGGATTCAAATCTGGTAGGTACATCTCTGGATACACATTTCTTAGGTACCACGTAAAGTTTTTACAATGTAACCGTTGCCTTAACTCGAGTCTTTTTGAGAGGTCGCCAAATGTTTTCTGTAGAAACAAAGCTAAATGTTTAGTTTTATAAACAGAAACTGAAATCATGAGTCATAAAAAGATTACTTTTTACTAAAGCTAACAATAGATGGGTTTACAAAATAATTTGTTTCAAGAAGTAACTTTTGAATACCTAAAGCGGTAGCTTTATATGCGTTAAACAGTGCCTATGATGTAGGGGAGAGTGGCTCACTGCACCAGAGCTTTTTATTTAAGAACATAAGAACATAAGAGACGCCAATGTTGGATCAGGCCAAAGGCCCATCCAGTCCAAACACTCTGTGTCACACAGTGGCCAGAAATACCAGTGCCATCAGGAGGTCCACCAGTGGGGCCAGGACATTAGAAGCCCCCCCACTGTTGACCCCCCCAAGCACCAAGAATACAGGGCATCACTTGCCCCAGAGCCTCTATCTATACCTTCTGGCTAATAGCCACTGATGGACCTCTGCTCCATATGCTTATCTAATTCCTTCGGATGATTAAATGGAACCTTTTATAGAATGTGAGTATACAGGATTTCTTGCTTGGAACGATATTTCAATCTGTTAGCATGTCGCTCTCCTAGGAACGAAGTATTGGCCTGTATGACTGACAGACCTAAGGCTGTCTCCCGATCTAACGTGCTATTTCTAAAATAATATAGCAACAGACGTTAACAATTCAGTAATATACAGAAAGCTCATAACTATGAAACGGCTGGATTCGAGTCCAGCATCACCTTAGAGACCAACAAGATTTTCGGGGTACAAACTTTCGAGAGTCAGAGCTCCCTTTGGTCCAATAGCTCTTCTACTGCACACCAAGATGGCTGCCCTCTAAAACTACTCTGAAGTGGGGGTGTTGTTGTTTTTTTTGCCATATTGGCCTGCAGTAGAAGGGCTAGACTGTCTGCTCTACCAGTAATAAATTGGGATTACAAAGAAGTTTAGGGTTGTGGTAAGGAAACAAATTCTGACTGCACCCCACATACCTCTGGGTATTGTGCTATAGCAATCGCTCACCACTAGATTTTCCTTTATACACAACCCAGTCCAGTTGTAAGTTGACTGCTACAGCGCAATGACAGCACACCATCCAAACGTGGGGCTGCAGCACCCAGTTCATCCAAGGCACTCTGACATCACAGATAAGTGGAGTTCAATCAAACAGGGGAGTTTTGCATCAAGCTCTGGGGGCTAAGGGAGGTGGGAAGTGCGTTAGCACAGCAGCATATCGTGCTGGTACCCAAATGCAGAATCATTGCAGCTTGTTGCGATGACTGAATGCAGCCATCTGTCTACCTTGCAATCCAATGTGATTACAGCATATTGGCAAAGTACAATATTCTGTTAAGCTACTCACCAATTAATTTACTACTTTACCAGTATTTAACAGCTGTGCAACTCTTGACAAAGATAGTCACCCATTCTGTTAAATTACATGGCACTTGATCTTCAGTTTTACTTAGCAACAGAGCATGAGCAAAAATATTCCAAAATATTTCAATACACATCCATTAGCTTGCTTCTCTCTCTAACCCTAGAACATTATTTTAGATGATTTTTCAACAGTTTAAAAGTTTTCTTCCGGTGAACTGTTTCTCAACAAAAAATCTTTTTGCCAATATTTAGAGGAATAGGTCTGCCCTCTTGAACTCTATTTTACATTCTAGTGGGGAAAATTTCTCTCTGTCAACATGCTCAACTGTGCTATAAGTAGAGCGCTATTTCCATTGTAGGCTGAACTACTGCGCACGTATTAGCCAGTAATGTTGTTTTCCTAAGTGTACAAGTATTCGGCAGAGATTATCATCAGCCCTGGCAACTACAAGGAACCCTGGCACATGTCGTTTCTAGGAAAGCTGATGCCTCTGGGGTCCCTGACACCTATGACACCTATAGTTGGTAAGGGTCTTCCAATTCTACTGGATGATTAAACAGTTTACTGAACCACACCAGTTTATTTAATTTCAGAGAGGTAACACAATGGACACTATAAAATAAATAAAATGAAAAACTTAAATTGGGCACTGGTATTCAAGGTATTAAATAAATTACTGGGCAAAAAGCAAACTGAGTCAACAGAATGCACACTATTTTTATGTATTTGCATCAATAAATAATTTTTTCTCACCAAGTGTTTCAGTGCAGCAACTGATTTCTAATACCACCACCATCGCCACCTACTTGTTTAACTATTTTTGCTGCTTCTCTGTTTCTTCTGTAAAATATGTCTTTAAATTCATCCATCCAGACTTCTGCAAGGCGAACCTGATTACGTGTGATCACTTGAGTCCCTTTTGGAAAGGTATGAGGGCTCTTGCTGCGAAACACATGGCCAACAACAGAGCAAGGTATGATTTCCAGCTGACCTCCACATTGCCATACCTGAAAAAGTACAGGTAGGTTAGACTTTTTAATGATCCAAAGCCTTTAAAAGGTAGACTATCAGAATAATGGAATCTTCACAAAGCCTTTGAATGAGAAGGGATCAGCCAGTTGCCAGAGACATTCTATTTCTAAACTCACTCTGAAAGACATTTCTATGTTTTCTCCTCCCCATATTTCCATTTCTTCATCATAGCTGCCAATGTATTCAAAGTATTCTTTTGATATTGAAAAGAGACCTCCTGCAAAAGTAGGTGATCTGCAAAAAGACAATAATTGATGAAGTCAGTAACTTCCCGACAGGCTAAATTTTGGTCCTATTTTTCTCCGTATAGGCCTCTGAATAAGCCTCCCTTCCTCAGGTAGGTCCACCCAACTGGGCCAGCAACTGCTTATGAACCGGCTAACCAACACATCATTGAAAATATCAGGCTAGCTTTGTGGAGAAACCACCACCATGGCAATGAGTTATTTGCACACTAGCATCCATTTCAAAGCTAGATCAGTAACAGTCAAAAACTGTCCTGGAAACTCTTCTACCCTTTGAAGATAGTGGCTTTCTGTGTGCTGACATTTCCCCAGCAGAATGCTTTGGTTTTACTTCAATGAAAGAGACTGGTGCAAAAAATTCACTATCGGGGGGGGGGGGGGGAGTCCAAATTCCTGCATGCCATGACTTCCATAAGTCACCACCAAAAATAGCTTCTGATATTCATTTCAAAAAGGTATCAAAGAGCTATATTTAGACTGTATCTGAAATGGTAAAAAAACAAAATTGCAATTCATTTACAGCGACTTATAAAAACACCACCACTCAGGAGGTGAACTTTTTTCCTCTGTGCATTCCGCAGTTGTACAGCAGATAGAAAATCAACAGGCATAATTGCTTTTGGCATGGAGGTAATCCACATATGTTGGATTTCTTTCAGTTATACTAGGCTTCAGTCAGAAAAACAGCTGCCTTAAGTTTCACGTTATTTAAAACTAAACTGGCAGTTTTGTTTGAACTTCTGTTGATGGAACTAATTGCTCTTAAATGTTTGTAGGGGGGGGGAAATCATGCCTTTAAAACCTACGCTGGGACTTGGCTTAGGTTAAAATTTCTCCATTTAGTACATTTTTATCCTTCCCTTCCACTGAGGCATGCATGGATCTTCTTTCCCCATTTTTTATTCTTACCACAACCCTGTGAGTAGGCTAGGCTGAGAGAGTGACTGGCCCAAGATCACCCAGGGAGCTTCATGACAGAGTGAGGATTTGAACATTTGTCTCCCAGTTCCTATTCCCACACTCTACTATACAATGAAAAGTACTATGAAAAAAGTTAAAAATCTAGAAAACAGTAGCATGCAAGAAACATTCCTGCTGGATAGCCCAAGCAAGTATTTGGATGGGAGACCTCCAAGGAACACCAGGGCTTGGGAGGAAGAGGCAGGCAATCAAGCCACTTCTCTGAATGTCTTCCATGCCCCAGTGGGAGCCGCCAGAGGTCAGTATGACTTCCAGTCACGCGTGCACAAAAAAATGCAAAAATACCCCCCAAAAGAAGCATTTCTGCTTTTGCTACTGTGTCCCATCTATAAAAGAAAAGGCATCTTATACATTAGCCAGTTTGGTGTAGTGGTTAAGTGTGCGGACTCTAATCTGGGAGAACCGGGTTTGATTCCCCACTCTGCCACTTGCACCTGATGATGTGACCTTGGGTCAGTCACAAGCTCGGGCACAGCTGTCCTTGAAAAAGAGCAGTTTGTGTCAGAGTTCTCTCAGCCCCACCCACCTCACAGGGTGTCTGTTGTGGGGAGGGGAAGGGAAAGGAGTTTGTAAACCGCTCTGAGACTTCAAGTGAAGGGCGGGGTATAAATCCAATCTCTTCTTCTTCTTCGTTATTTTAAGGAACAATGTTCCCCCCCAAAAAAAAAATTGTTAAAGAATTTTACCGCTTACTTAATAGGATAGGTTTCATCTTTCCTTCTTTTGTTTTCATGATCAGGCAGAGATTCCCATCCAAAGGACAAAGTCCAGTCAAAATTTCCTCTGTTGTGGTTATGTCCATAAGGAGAAGGCTTGCTAAATTCAAAAGTATTGACATCTATAGCAGAAATATCTGGGCTTACAACACAAGTATAGTTCTCAGCTATTCTTGCCAACAAGGGTTCTAGCCAGCCATAAAAACACTCACCTAGTAGGAAAAGAGGGGGGGGGAGATTATGGACCTTAGCATTGTGTTCCCTTAGCCATAAAAATTAGGAGCAAAAACATTTTAGGTACACATTTTATGAAAAAACACATATGTAGTTTGAAATGCTGTTAATTTATGGATAGTCTTCAACAAAACCCTGAAGACAAGCCTGAGGTGTATTTCCTACTCAGGTTGCACTTCTTTTGCCAGAATCATATAGAAGTGGCTCTACCATGTTTTCTACAAGTGGGGAAACTGTGGGGGGGGGTTACTTAATTTTCCCTTTCCCACACTATTTCCTTTCTCTCTCCTCCACTGTATCTTCACAACAACACTTTAAGGTGGGTTCGGCTGACAGAGAATGACTGGCTCAAGGTCACCCAGCAAGCTTACATGGCAGACCGAAGCTTTGGACCTGGGTCTCCCAGATCTTAGCCTTACAGTAACTACTACACCATGCTGGCTCTTGGCTTCCCTCCTTCCCTCACCCTGGGAAAAGTCTGGCCAAGCTGCAAAAGTTTTGGAACTGGGTGTTAAAAGCTGTCCCTTTCCTCCCAAGAGTCCAAATATTAAAGAGCCACTCAGGCACCGCCCTTAGGAGACGGACACACCAGATTCTCATTTTTCAGTCCCCATGTTATCCACGTTTTCTTCCACTTTGTCTATTTTATTAGACAGAGCATATTTAGTAGCAGGGGTCATTTCGTAGAAAAAGAGCTAGGGGAACTCATTAGCATAACTCATTAGCATATGCCACACCCCCTGACATCAGGGGCCCGGCGGTGGACCTGCAAGGCCAGCGGGAGTGCGAGGAAGCCCCGCCAAGGCCCTCCCTGGCCCCAGGCAGGCAGGGGTGGGGAGAGGCAGGGAGGAAGCAACTTACCCTCCCTCTTCTCCTGCCTCCTCCTGGCTGAATAAGGGCTGGAAGCGGGGCGGCCGGAAGCAGGGGGCGGAGCTTCGTCATGTGCCCCGCCCCCCTGCACCTCACCCGGGGGAACTGCGTTCCCCCGCATCCCCCCCCCCGAAATGACCTCTGTTTAGTAGTAAAACGAATAATCCAAAGGGGGAAAATCAGTACAAGATGTCCTTAATATCGGTTAGCTACATGACATTACCATTCTTCGAACTCGCAGCCTACACATACTTACAGTGTGCATCCAAAAAAGTGAGAGTTTCTCCTGTTGCGACTGAAGCACCCAGCAATCGTGCCGTGATGAGGCCTTTTCTCTTCTTTTGCCGGACAATTTTAACTATCTGGAATTGTTTCACATATTCATCTAGTTTATTGTGCAAGTAATCTGTAACAACAACATGTCAGTCTCTAGCTTCTGAACACAAATAACCTTCAGTTTACTTTTCACGGTTAGCTCCTTTGTCAAAATAATTTGATATGCCTGTAAGTTCCAGTCTAAAGGTTTAAATGTTCTACCCAAGGCAAAAATAGCAAAGTAAAAATAAAATGCTTTTAACAACCAACCAAAAATTGAAAATGTGGCCAGAAACATACTACAGCCTGAATTCATCTCAGTAAATATATAAACTTCCATTGCAGATCAGTTAGTTATTATTATTATTATTATTATTATTATTATTATGTTTTGAAAAAAGGTGATTAAAACATTTCACTGATGAAGAGACAGCACAAATCAATGTATTTAAGAAGAGGGACGACTATTTGTTACTTTGTCAATTTTGTGAAAGGAACTAGTATTGTTAAATAATTTTAATAACCCAATTAATCCTGCTTTAGCAGGCTTTGCGTTTTTAAAGAAAAAAGTTGCCAGACTGTGATCAGAAGACTGCACCTGTTACTTCAAGACCTACAAGATGCAAATCATTGATAAAGAACAGTGCTTCAGAGGTCCATATTCTCAATATGCTTCCACACATATTGTGAAACCATCTGCTTCAACAGGCAACCAAAGAGAATGGAAGAGGAGACCAGTTGCACTGGGACAAGAACCCTTCCTGATGAATAAGAAAGTGCAACAGAAACATGGCACCGATATTCCCTAGAAATACAATATGCTAAAGGGACCCTTGTTTTTTATAAACATATACAGCCTGCATTCAGACACCTAATTTAAGCAGACAACCTATTTAAGCAAGAGCTTCAAAAGCCTCTTCTCCCCTCCTCCCTCGCTTTGCGCGCATGTGTGTGTGTGTAAAAACAGGCCCTCAAGTCACAGTCGACTTACAGTGACCTCATAGGGTTTTCAAGGCAAGTGATTAAGCAGAGGTGATTTGACATTGTCTTCCTTTGCAAAGACTTCCTTGGTGGTCTCCCATCCTCTTGGTGGTCTCCCATCCTCCCATCTGGCTTAGCTTTTGAGCTCAGGTTATACTACACCATTCCACATCTTCCTTTGCATGCCACACCAATATTGAGGACTAAACAAACCATGAGTTGGCTTCAGACTACATTTTCTGTCAGCGGAATGGAACTCTTCTGCCGCCCCACCCCCTTCTACTGCAGCCCACTGATCTCCACGAAACACGGCTCCTGAGGGATCAGGAACCCTATAGAACATAAAGGAGGGGGTCTGCAGCAAGCAGGGAAAAATTGGTGGAAATGGCCAGTTTAGTCCCGATACAGTCTCATGGCTTACTTGGCCTGACAGTGAGCCTTAAGAGTCCTTCCGGCTTGCTAGCTCTCTTCCCTTCCCTGTCGTGCTGAGCTGGAAGGCTTTTTTCCATCTCACCAAAACTTGTCTTGACAACCCAGATTAGAGGCTTTAAACAAATTGTGGTTTGTTTCTTGCAAAGAAACTGCAATATGTTAAAATGTCCAATGTGGACATGCAGTAAAAAATTTAAACCAAGTCCTCCTCAGTCTTGGTGTGGCTTGCAAAGGGAGGAAGGAGGGGAGAAGAAGGCTTTTATGGCTTTAAGTAAGAGGAAAACAATGCTTTTCTCCAGCACAAGGAAAACATGAAGCATCAGAAGACCACACATAAAATAACATTTTCTTACCATCTTCACTGGCATCATCCACCAAAATTATTTCTTTCAGTAAAATCGCAGGGGAAGTATACATCACGCTATGAACAGTTCTTAGTAGAGTGGACCACGCTTCATTGTGAAAAACTATGATAACACTTGTAGTAGGTAGCGGTGGACAGCGTTTAAATTTTTGCTCAATACACCTAGAGAACAAAACCACAGATCACAGAAAGAACCAAAGATGAACTAAATGTTTGATATGGCACAAACAAAGCAGTACCATATGCTTGGCAAGCCTGGCAGAGCCTCTTGGCTGTTTCTCACTTCAGTTCAAATCCTACAAACACTTACTACAAGGAAAGCCATACACAGGGTCAGCATTGCAAAAGCATTTCCTGGCAATTCCAGCAATGTTTTTGGATCGGGCCATTAAGGAGCAAGTGAAGGACTAAAATTACTGCCACAAGAATATATCCAACAGAAGCTTGGCAGATTTGGAAATTTATCATACTTCGGCCTTGTAGATAACCAAGGCTGAAAAAGCCCATCAACAAACGTTATAAAAGTGGACTTAATTAAATTATCCTTGTTTTGTCAACACATTTTAAAAGGAACTTGGTGCAAAACTCATTATGATGAGTCTCAGATTATTTGCTGCTGTTTTGAGACAGGAAATCGGATTAGAAAAGCAACATGCATTATACAAACTAACTACTCACACGTATGCTTATGGAATTAAAGCCTTCCATGTAGAAGTTATTCTAATGATATATGTGATACACACCATGTGTCAGTAAAGAACCCTATTTCTGATATTTGCATATTTAAAGAAAGGCCAGAAATCAGCATGCCCTTCAACCTACTCAGGAGGTCGTGTGTCTGGTCCAAGATCCCGATGTAAAGAAATCCTGTCGCTTACAAAAGCATTAAAACAATGTTTGTCATCTCCACGCTCTTTCTCCTTCTGCTCTTCTGGACTTAAATTGACAGGTTTAAAGGCTTTACCGGATGCTCCCGGAGCATTAGGGTCCTGAGGGGGTCGATCCAGAAAAGGTTTCAGTTCAGCTGCTGTGTAAGACCCTGGTAAACAGTGCCTCTCTCCAGGAACCTGAGTTTGTCTCACAGGGGCATTGATTTGCATGTTTGGCTTTGCACCTTTAATATTGTTCACAGCTTGTAACACTAGGCCTAGCACATTAGCCCTCTTTCCATCTTTTGACTGGATTCCCGGCTCGTCATGAAAATCCTGAATACCTACTTCTCTTTGTAACAAAAGCAAAAATATTAAAAAGATAAAAATAACGATGGTACACTTCCAAAGCGTCCGATGGGAAAACGGCATCTTTATACATCGTCTTAGTGCTCTCAAGAAAGCCATCCCGGAAAGTCCACATATGTAAGCACTTCTGATAAAATGAGTCTTCTTCATAGAGGTAGATAGGTGTTTGCTAAAACAGTAGTATCTGCAAGATTTAAAGAATGGTTATATACATGCAGCTATACAAACTTCACTTTTTAGAGCTTCACAAGAATATTTAGCTAAATGGTCAAAAACATACATGAAGTAGGACAACTCTCCCACTACTTTCCTGGTCCTAATTTGCTCCTTTCCTCAAGGTATATAATATCCAGTCACATGTAATGGGCCCATAACAGTTTGTTTGTTGTTTTCCTGCTGGATCACAACCTACAATGCAGCACCGTGAATGATTATAGGTCCATTATTAATAAGACAATGCAAATTTTTTTACTCCTGATTCCATTGGTGTAACTACTAAAAAGACTTGGCCCGCCTTGTTTGCAACCCATCATACCTTCCTGACTGCCCACTGCTAAACACCAGCACCCAAGCAGTGCAGCCAACACCCAGTATCCTAGACTTCCACCATTTACACCTGTTCTCTTCAGACTTGCTGATCCAACTGCCTTGCCTTGCCACTGTCCTACTTCAGCTTTTTGAGTTTTGCTTGTAAAATCTTAAATATGTCAGTTTTCATTTAAAAACTGCCTTGTACTAAAAACGAAACTATACCGACCCCCTTGCCTGAACAGGTATACAGAAGCGTCAAATGGTTATCACCTGATGGCTGGAATTGCCAGACTGCTCATTTGGAAGGAATCTTATTCGCCCCAGATAAACGGGTATATGACAATTTGTTTTTATGGATAAAGAGGATTTAAAAAATATAGTGATTAGTTTGCCCTAAAATAATGAGGGAGGACTTTTCAGCTTGGAGCCCCCAACCATAACATCATCATCTCTCCACCTAGGAAACAGGATAGGGAATACCTGGCAGGTCACTTCTTACCCTGCAGATAGATGCCCGTTCCACTGGGAAATGGAAGAGTGGGAGGACTAGTTCCTGGAGCAGAGGTTTCTGCGACAGCACAGCAAGTTCTCAAGAGGAAGGGTGTTCTCCAGTTGAGTGAAATGCAAACGCCCATTCTTGGAAGGCAGCCTGCCCTTCCCTGCTAGTTATTTCTCCAGTGACCATGCGACTTGGAGCAGTCAGTGCTGCCTGATCCACATCCATACCATGCTGCCCAACAGCCAGTGACAAAGACAGCACGGGTGGGCCAGGCGGGCCTTTCAGAGCCCTCACTCACTGCTTGACAAAACATCCCCCCCCATGCTGGTGCATTTTCACATACTGGGACAGGCACACACCTCTCGATCTGCAGGGCTGTCTGCAAACCCAGCCCCTCCTCCCACCTTGGTTGTGGGGTGGTGGGATAGAGCAGCATTCTCTTGAACTAGCACTGAACCCTCCAAGTCACTTCCTAAGCTTCTTGGGTAGGCCAAAAGCAGTGCATGAGCTACTAACGTCTCACCTGCTAGCAAGCTATGATCATATCAGTTGCCTCTCATCTGCTGCTGGAAAGCATGCTTCTGCGTTGACAAGGACCCATTCCTGGTATGAAGATAGATGGAAAGGGACAAACAAAATGATGGTGGTGTCAAATACGGTTCAGGGGCCACCAGCTGGTCATCTCTGCTCAAAAGGATCCCGTTTGACAATACAAAAGTAGCTCTAGCTTCTACACGACATTATTTTAAAACCACTTTCATACATATTGGCTTCCAATATCTTATGGTTGCTTATCACCAATATGGAAGAAAATACATGCTTACCCAGATAGTGTGAGATATGCCACAAACATCATTCGTGCATGTGCTGCACGAAAGAGCTACTCAACTGGTATTATTGCAATTTAAAAACAAAACACTTGTGTGATCATTACTTCATCTGCATCCTGCCTTTCATTCCAATGATAAGAACATAAGAGAAGCCAATATTGGATTAGGCCAATGGGCCATCCAGTCAAACACTCTGTCACACAGTGGCCAAAAATACCAGGTGCCATCAGGAGGTCCAGCAGTGGGGCCAGGACACTAAAAGCTCTCCCACTGTCGTCCCCCCCAAGCACCAAGAATACAGAGCATCACTTGCCCCAGAGTCCCTATTTATACCTTGTGGCTAATAGCCACTGATGGATCTCTGCTCCATATGCTTATCTAATGCCCTCTTGAAGCTGTCCATGCTTGTAGCCACCACCCCCTCCTGTGGCAGTGAATTCCATGTGTTAATCACTCTTTGATGACCTAAAGTGACTTACATTGTTCTCCTCTCTTTCATTTTATCCTCACAACAGCCCTGTAAGGTTAGCCTACCTTACCCCTGTTGTGAGGATAAAATGAAAGAGAGGCTGAGAGAGGGTGGCTGGCCTAAAGTCACTCGCTAACGTTCCCTAGCAGTATGGTGATTCGAACTTGGGTCTCCCAGATCCTAGTCCAACACTATAACCATTACACCACACAGGTTTTCTATACTTTAAGGTATTATGGTAAATCTCCTATAGAGAAATTACAATCATGCAGGAGATTTCTAGTAAATGAAATGGCCCTGACACTGGGGCTAGTGAGAGATTATTTGGGAGATCCATGTTCAGGACATCCCCACCACCACCCTTTTAAGGCTTCAAAGCAGCTGCAAGAGGATGCTAGTTTTACTGGGAAGCAGAGTTGGAGGAGGGGGGTTTTTTTTAGCCCTTTACTCTTGTGCTGGTGTTCTCTAGCTGAGTTCCCTCTCCTTGAAGCTGCTGCGAACCCTGGGGTAGAGGTGGTGGTGCTGGGGAAGAGACAGGAACAGCATCTGCCGCTCATAAGAGAATAAAGGGGCTATACTAAAGAGCTAAAACTTAGGTATGTTAATTAGTCAAGCTAATTTCAATTAGGGTAAATCATCACTTTCCCTAAAAAAAAGTATATTTCAGGTCTATTAAAATTCCACATCTAAATTTTTATTCAGGCAGACACGTTTTTGTTTAACTTTGCCACTGCAAACCATTGCTGCTATTCAGAAACATACCAAATAATGCTGGGGAGAAAACTTATTTACAGTGACAAAATAAACAAAGCATACAACCACAGATTTCTGACACCCTTAAAGCACCAGAGTTGCTCACTGATGAAATGTTTCTTAAAAAGCATTTAATATAAAGGGCTTGGCTAGCCATGTAAAAACAGACTTAACGGTTGGGTCACAGTAAAACTGATAGTTTATACAGCGCAATGAGGACATTAATATTTTAGGTTACCTCAGTTCCATGTCTGAATTCACCACAGCTAGCATAAGATCAGTTTTCACAACCATTGTAATGGCTCTGTGTAAATCATGCTCCTCATCAGAAGCACTGCAAAGTCTTTAAAATATTTCTATAATTATCTAATGATAGACTATTGCAATCAGAGCTCTGTTATCTCTTCCTAACATGCTCATGCTCATATGTTTAAAAAAAGATTTTTGAAGCATGATGATGCCACAGCTTTTATTGGGGTGAGTCAGTGTGGTTCTGTAAGGGTCCCCCTCTTGGGATAGTGGAGAGTGAGGAGCTTCGTATCTTTGGGGGAATCAGAGACTGCTAAGTCCTAGACACAGTGCATGGGAAATGGATAGAGCCTTTTGACCCAGTTCCTGCTTTTATGTGAAAACCATGCTGTGAAGATCGTGACCACATGAAGGCCCCGGTCACATGGGCTGGAAAACACGGGGGGAAGCGTAGCTGTTTGCCCCGGAGCAAAGTAAAGCACGGCAGCCCGATCACACGTCCCATCAAGTTCCCGTGGTTAGGCCGTTAGGTGCTGATCACACGGCTATCCTGAAGCGCGGCAAAGAAGCGG